AAGGGCTGTGTGGTTCAAAACAGTGATGGGAATGACAAATAAGATTTCACCATGAAGCAGGGTGTCTTGACCCATGGCCATGTCGGCCTTCTGCTGAGTAAGGGACATCCCTGTTATAGACCAAGGAGGACTGAACAGAGAAATCACAAATCTGCCTGGGGTTGCATTGTGAATGCCAGTCTCAGTGTTCTCAACTTGGTCATTGTAATAAAAGAAGGAGAAAGATATTCTTGGTTTCACGGATACTACTATGGCTTCTTGCCTGGGGCCCAAAGAACTAGCAGAGTCTGCAAACATTTCAATCTCTCTAAAGAAGATGATATCTGCCAATATGTTGTGAGAAAGTCTCTACACAAAGACAGTAAGAAACCTTAAACCGAAGCATCCAAGAATCAGCATTCTGCAACACAAATGGCATCTTGCTCTGAAGAAACAATGTACTGAGAAAAATAAGGATGAGGCCACAGAATATGCTAAACTTTTGCCTAAGAGAATGACGAGGCCAAGGAAACATGCCAGGAACAGACCAGCCAAGAGACGCAGGGTGTCCCCTCTGAGAGCTTCCACCTCTATGTCTGAGTCCGGTCAACAATGAGATCGAGTCCAGTCAAAAATAAGAACAAACATCAAATTTCAAAGAAAGAAAGAAAACAGTGAATTTGATGTGCCAAAAGAAAATAACTACCCACTGAAAACGCTATATCCAGAGAGAATACATCTTCCCAGAATGGAGGAGAAAGAGAGACATTTGGAAACAAGCAGACACTGAGACAGATTGTTACCATGAGACCCTTACTACAGGAATTTCTCAGAATACACTTTAAACAGAAGGAAAAGTGATCCTGGAAGGAAGGTCTAAGATGCAGGAAGAAATAAATAGCAAAGAACATGGTAAATATTGGGCAAATGGAAACCAACATTGACTCTATAAAAGAGAATAAATAATGTCTAGTGGTGTGAACAAAAAATAAAAAGTAAGAACTAAAATACCAGACAGCAAAAGCATATACATTGGGAAGGAGATAAACATATTAAACATATTTTAAGCTAATATTTTAGAAGAGGGTAAAAGATTTGATTAGCTTTAGCCTTTGATAAGTATCAATGTTGTAATCCTAGGTAAGCCACTAACAGAACAGAAACAAAGGGTATCACTACCAAAGACACAGAGAAAAATATAGAATAATAAAAAAAGGAAAGGAAAGGAAATGCAAGATATATTGAGAGAAAAAAAGCAAAAACAATGAGTCCATTTATAGAAATTCAAAACCAAAGTCCTTATATTTTTAAGGACTATCAATATAGGTGGAAAAATAAGGAAAGGTAATAAAATAATGAATAAAATACAGTTGAACTCTATGGCAACAGAAGAGGCTGTGATGACTTAGGAACAAATAAATGGCAGGGGGTGGGGCCTCGGGAGGGCAGGCAGGGTCTGTCTATATCTTGACCTGGGTGGTGGTGACGTAGAAGCTTGATGAATAATTTAAAACATTTGTATATGCTTAATGCATTTGACTAAAAATGGTTTCTATATCATTTTACGGTGACAATATTTAAAAATTTTAAAGTGAGTTAAAAATCAGAATATATAAAAATCTATGAGACTATGACACTTCCTTTTCTTCGTTGTCCGCATATGCAGATCTAGGGACACCAGGGGTTTCCAAATGCTCCTCCTCACTGGAGGGTCAGCCAGGCGGCACCAAACTTTCTCTGGTCTGGGGTGATCAAAAGAGGACAACATCTGTGCTCACAGAAAGGGGACAGTGTCCTGTCTTGCTAAAGACTGTCCTTCATGCTGAGGTTTCTCCTACCTAGATTCGGGACTGGGTCCTTTTTCTATTTGAAATCAACAGTGCTAGTTGGTGGTAAGTTACTCTTCAATGTCTTTATTAAAAACAAACACCAAAATAACACGTCAGTTGTCCTCTCCCTTGAAGAGGAGACTGAGGACCCGGAGCCCAAGAATTTCTCATTTACAAACACCAGTGAAGTGATTCTGTGTCTATTTTCAGGGGAAGGCAACTTCTGATAAAAATGTGACTTGATTATGAACTGAAACAACTTCAGTGAGAATGAAAAATTGCCAAACACGGAATGTGGTATCAGGCACAACATTTTGTGACATGCTGTATTAAATGCGAAAGCCTTCGGGGTAGTAGGAGTCGATGGAGGAAATGTATGTGGACATGCGGGTGGTTACATCTAAAGCCCCGCATGGAGGGATGGCTTCATTTTCAGAATTATTCAGTGCTCAGATACAATATTTTATGCTGCCTATGAGTATATATTTTTCTTCTTGGAGTATGTACATACTGGTATAATTTGAATGAATATATTTCCTATACATGTCTGAATCCCTTCAATTGCAAAACTAGCATAGGGGAACAATATGTTATAATTATATTCTAAATCATGTACTACAGAAGATCATAAATATATTTATATACCTTACAAGAGTACATTGTAATAGAAGACAATAAGTATGTTATGGTTACTATGTGTTTTTGTGTTTTATTAATTCCATTCCTTACTACTTCTGCGGTCAGATAACACTAACCCCATTTTACAGATGAGGTTTCCGAAGCTCAAAGAAGTTGGGTAACTGTCAGGAAAACTAGAATGAAGTTCACTGTGGTTGCACGCACATCCCTGCTCCTAGCTGCTTTGAAGCTTTGTCTCACCACCGCATTAACCTTCAGGGGGCTTTCCTGCAAAGACGAAAGTTCCATTTCCTCGTTTAAACCACGGCCTGCGCTCACTCGGGCCACGTCCACTGACCCCTTGGAGACGGGACAGATTTTTCCCCAGAAGCACATGAACGACGCCAGGACATGTGCAAGGGGGTACAAGAAAAATTCAGAAGTTTGGGCATGAATCTCTTTCGAAATAAAACCACAGCAACTTCAGTCAAGGCCTGGTCATCACCGTATCTTTCTCTGAGACTGCAGCTGGGAAAGGTGGGCTATCCCACTAGGCCTCGGACACTTGGTTAGAACTGTTTCCAAGAAGTTGACTAGCAAGACAGTTCATGCAGTACAAACATGAATCTGTAATTCTCTTCCCCAACCACCACAAAACATAGTCCCTGCCCTGAATTCACTGTGAAGACAATGAGTGCTGGGAGAAACCACCAGAGAATGGAAAATGGGGCCAGAAGTAAAAAAATGGGGACTGCAGAAACAAACAAACAAAAGAAAACCCTGTTAACGAATGTCTTCTAAAAGTAAAACCTGGTGTGGATTAATAACCCTAAAGGTTGGACTGGGGGCATGCAATTAGTGAGCTGACCGCGAAGGTTTGCCTATCATCTCCAGGGAGTTTTCCTTCACCTGCATACAAATGAAACAACTGATAATGCTATCTTCTGTATGAGGCGATTAAAACAATAAAAATAAACTAAATGCCTTCATTTGGAATCGAGTCTCTCCCCCTTCCCAGCACACTCACACTAACTCTGCTCCCCAGGACTTCTGCTCACCCAGGACCAGATCAGGTCAGCACCAGGCTCAGGTGGGCGAGGGCCCCGCCTCCTGGCTGACTTCCTTCCCCCTCGCACTCATTCAAGGGAAGACAAAGGACCTGCCGGTGGATGGGGGCTGTTTTGTGCCTGGCCTTTAGGGGTACTTCATTTTTCTTAAAAAGATTATCTCAACCTTACTGTAGCCAAAAAAATAAAACAAAACAAAACCCTAAAACAAATTTCTGAGGCAGTCCGAATTAAAAATACAAAGGCCTGCGACATATTTTTAATGTATTCATAATTAGTTTACAGATTGGGCCTCACGGAGACTCCAACATCAGCAAGCCACTTGGGGATAAAGGCTATTGCAATTATCAGGAGCAAGCCAAATGCTACCTTTTGTTCTAGCTAAAATCTCCTCCTTTAAAAAACCGTCTCCTAGCAGATGATTTTCTATTTCCCATTTAAAGAGGATTACATAGCATACAGGACCAGTGGCTGCAAAGCAAAGAACTTTCTATCGTCTTATTACCTGCCAAACACAAATTAGTTCATTGTGGTGACTCCTGCCAGGCTGCCCCTTTCCCTGCCCATCAGGAGAAGGGGTACTGCAGTCCTTCCCAATCAGGAGGCTGTCAGTCAGATAAGCTGCCTGCCCTCGGTCTCCCGCATCCTGTGGCCGCGCTGGTGTTTGGGCAACAGAGTTTGGAGCTTGTAGGGCCCCAGTAACGAACACAAAATTGCTCCTACTTACCATCCCTGTCAAATTCCTGTGGGCACGTGAGGCCCTCCTCCAGGTACACTAACGACACCCTACAAATTTCACTTTGTAGTAACTATAGGATACAGAAATTGTATTAGCTCCATTAGATGGAGTCATAGATATATTCAGAAAGGTTAGCTGGATATAGTGAATGTCACAGCTAGACTAAGATAAAAAATCACTTTGTTAACTTAGAGTGTCTCCTCATTGGTAGCACCCTAAATTAAGGTGCCATTTATAAACAGTTTATTATTATTTATTAATGTGTGAAGCACTTTACAGCATGCTGGATAACAACTTAAATTCATGTATTAAAGATGCACATACATGGTTTAATACGATTTACGTCTTATAATATTCTTTAAAACAGCTTCCCATAGTCTCATCCGTTAAGCATTTATTACTAATGCATTTTATAACATACTTTATAATACATTATTTGAGCAAGTAGCTGCATTTAGTGATCATTTCATAAATAAGAATAAAACATTTATAAATGGCACCTTAATTTAAAGGGTTACCTTCATATTACTAGATAGCTGCTCACCATTTATCTTATTTTGTGATTATTCTGCAAATGCACCACTTAATAAAACAGATACCAAGTTCTATTTTCCCTTCATCTGATTAAAAGTTTATTGAGTCATTTCCTCCATCTGCTTTCAGATGGTGGTAACTTGGAGGCTACAATGGGATTTTTGCTGAAACCAAACGTTCAATTCAACAATATTTCTGTAAAGGTGATAATAGTAGAAACAGAAAACTACCCACCACATTAGATACAGCCTGTTGCTTGGATTCTTTGTAAAATTCAATTTTTCGACTGGAAAGAACAATCCAGGAAGTAGACCAGTTTTTCCTTGGGGGAAAAAAAGGAAAGAAGCATTATCACTTGAAGAAATTATTCATAGATAGAGTATGAGCAACACTGGGACTGAGTGGAGACGATATTTTTAACCAGAATTCCTAAAAGTCTTTTTTTTTTATTAATTAATTTATTTTTGTTGTAGATGCTTCTCCTTTTCCCCCCACTGACACCCTCCTCCAGATCCCGCCACCCACTCCAGCATTGTTGACTGTGTCTACTGGTTGTGCTTATATGCATGTATGGTTTATCTCTTCCCTCCCCCACCCCCTCCTCTGAGGTTTGTCACTCTTTTTTTTTTTTTTAAGTCTATAAGTGGTATGGAATTTTGGTAATAATAAAGACATTCTGTAATTTTTAAAGATCATAACATTTACAATAAAAATTTCTCAATTCATATATCCTCCCCAAATCCGTTTCAGCTACAAAAAATCCAGTTTTTTTTTTAATCCTTACTCGAGGACATTTTTTTTTTTTTTTTTTTTGCATTTATCTTCAGATAGAGTGGGAGGGAGAGAGAGAGAGAAACATCGGTGTGAGAGAGACACATCGAGTGGTCACCACCCGCACTACCCAACCAGGGCCGGGGACAAACTGCAACCGAGGTACGTGCCCTTAGCGGGAACCGAACCCGGGGCTCTCTGGTCCGCAGGCTGACACTCTAACTGCGAGGTCCCATAAAGTATCCACTCATATAAAGTCTTTTCTAATGTAAGCCAAAAATAGCAAAATTAAAATAGGAATCAGAACACCTTCTTTTCCTGTTACTTTTTCATCATTCATTTAGTATATTTCAGAATCTGAAAAACTAAACAGCTATGTGTTGCTGCCTAGTTCAAAATATTTTTAATGTTGAATTTCACTAGAAATCAATAAAATGCAATAAAAAGAGTGAAATGCTCTTTCCCTCTTTGCCAATCAAATTGGCAAGAATTTGAAGAAATGACACCAAGGGTTCTTGAAAGTGTGGAGAAATGTATTCTGTGATACAGTTTTGGTGGGACTATAAGCTAGCACATCTTTTCTGAAGTGAATTTAGCAACATGTTGTTTTTTCAAATCTTTAAAAGTGTGTATATGTTTTGACTAAATAAGTCCATTTCTATGAATTTAAATTTATCCTAAAGAAATAATCTCACAAGTTGTTAAGGTGTGTGCACAAGAATAAACTGCACCATTATTTCTTAATTCTTTACCTAAAATATATATAAAAAAAGATTGGTATGTAAGTTATACATAACAGATTCATATAATGGAATCATGAACCCTATGCTATAGAAGAATACTGATATGGGATGATTTTAGTGCAGACCATATTACTATGTAATTTGCAAGATCATTCTGTGCTATTTACCTAAGACTGTTCTCAGGCATCCCAGCCCTTCTTATTATTAATTTTCATTCATTGCAATTTTGAATGTTACATCCTCCAATGTGCCTTCTATAACTTCCTCACATAGTACTTATGATAAATTAAAAATTAATTTGTAGCCCTGGTCGGTTTGGCTCAGCGGTTGGAGCATTGGCCTGCGGACCAGACAGTCCTGGTTTCGGCTTCCGCTAAGGGTATGTACCAAAAAAAATAAATAAAATAAAAATTAATTTGTATAAATTTCATCTCCCTATTTAAAAAAACTAAAATGATAGAAAGCATTTAGTCTTTACGGAAGCATCCCCAAGTGCCTAACACAGTGCCTTGGACTAGTAGACACTAAATATGGATTTACTGAGTCAGTGATTAAACTTACGCACGGGAGAAAGAGCTGGATATACAACAGTCAGTTCGGGTGGTAAAATCACAGCTTTTAATTTTCCTTTTTATTTCTTGGTGTTTATTAAAACAAAGTTTTTATCTGTTATATCATATGGCTACCATTTGCTTTGGTTTAACACTCATTTCAAAATAGCTGAATTCATTTTACAAAAGTGGTTTAAAAAGCAGTTTACAGAACGACTGTATCCAGGTCAATAGAAAACTACACAAAAATATGTTTTAAATGACCAGTCAGGATCTTTGTTTAATTTATTTCCACTGGTCTCTTAGGATCTAGGGGCTTGATTGAAAGGATGGCTTTGATTCAATACAGTTTCTATCTACCACAAGATTAGGTTGTTCTTACGTGCCTAAAGCTATCTTAATGATATACTATCATACTAAAACAAATAACATGACAAACAGATACAAACAATGTTTATTTTCCAACTTGCTAATATGAACACTATGTTCTTGGATCCTCATTTCTTCAAATGAAGAGTCATTTTTTTTTCCAATAAAACAATGAAAAAGAAGTGGGGGAAATACAGAAAGAAACCCACATTGGCCTTTTTCTCTCCCTCACCCTAGTGCCCACTTGTCTTGTTAGGTACCAGCAGCAGCAGGTGACTTGGAGCAGGCGCAGCCTCCTCTGCGTGCAGGTCCATTAGATGGCCCACAGTGTCAGCATGGTCCCAGAGAGAGGACAGAGGAACACTGGACAGACAGGTGGTCTAGACTGGACATCTTTGATTTCCACCCCTTATTCTGACTGTATGTGATCAGTGGGTATGCAACACCCTCAGACATAGCAAAACCCATATTTAACCTGCCTGTTATATTTCCAACTATATTTCTCATCTCCTGGCAGGGAGATGCTATACCTTATTTGCTCTCTGCCTGTAGCCAGCCTTGGATAAATAGTTCTGATTTGAATCTGTTTCAGATGTTGATCGTTTATAGGACTTGCTGGCATTCTTCTCCCCTTCCTTAAACTTGGAACTGGAACTGGTACGAGTGGAAGTTGCATGAAATTCAATTATCTCATGGTTCTATATTGGAACTTTGAACTGCTGTGAAATGTTCCGTTAGGGGAATATGATGAACAAGCCAAAGAGGGTAAGAAATGCAGGCTTGAACCTTAGTAATAGGAATTGTCCTGACTCTGTGCACACAGTGCTATTTTGTTTTAAATTTATAAACTTCAAATACTGTCTTTGCACTATTAGAATAAGAGTAAAGATTTTTTCCAAGTGGCTTGAAATAATTTTGTTTCAAGGAAGAATACAATGCTGTTGCCAACCTTTTAGATGTCCCAATTTCATTTCATGTTTATCATGAGCCCTCAAAAATAATAATTAGCATAAGTTATTTTGAGTAATTAGCATAAGTTTGATTGTCTAGTGGAAGTTCAGTTTCGCAAAACAGATGTTGAAGGTATTGACATGTAAAACTAGGTTCAGAAGGTTTAGGTAATTTAAGGCCACTCAACTTTGATTGCCAGTCAAACCAGTTTCTCTGACTCTGAAGCCTGTATAGTAATCTGTTCGCTAATTTATGCTGTCTTTTTTCAGGATTAAGCAGCACAATTTTGGTTAAGGAGACTTTCAATGTCAGATTTTGTCTGACATTAGTTTTAGTCAAACTTTTCACATTATAGAAGCTAATGTGCGTAGCCTGTAACAGAGGGTCGCCATCCGGGCTCTCCTGTGAACTCTTTCACCTGATGCCTTTAGAAGGTCTGTGCAATGGTCGGTCACCTCCAAGCTCTCTTCTTTCCTCAGGACTTGCACTGCCCTAAGGGTCCCATGATGGACCCTTCAACTCCTTGTAAGAAGCCAGAAGCAGAGGGGTACTGCTAATGAAGGCACCTCCATCTCTTTCTTGCTGTGAAATTATTCTGCGATGAGCAGACTTACCAGCACTCAGTAAAGAGCATCAAACTAGAAAGTGAGTCAAAAGCCAATAGTCCGGGAGTGACTAAGAATTCACCTAATGGGAACAACTTTTTACCTATGACTTAGATGGGAACCTCCTCTCTGAACCTAAGAAGCTAGGGACTTGGCCATTGTCGTTATAATATCTGTCCTGTCCATTCTCCATCCGATTGGTTTGGCTACTGTGTTGCCTGTGGTTCTCAGGGTATCAGTGGAAGAGCTTTCTTAACCTCGTTACTCGAACACACTGAGCCATTTGACGGCATTGTCAGCTCTGGAGAGAGTGTGAAAAGGGTCAATTGGCAAGGTTTTGCTCTGACATGAACCTTTCTTTAATGCTTTCTGTATGCGGTGAAATCCTTGTTCAGTACACTGAGAGACAACTTGAAAAGTAAGTAATTTCTGCAAGCTCAGCCAGCTAGCTCGGACAAGTGACCCTAGCAGGATCTGAGGAAACTTCTAAAACAGACATGAAGGATGAAGCAGTTTGCAGAATGGCAGGTAAGGGCTTCTACGTTCCTACTTCCCCCAAAGAGACACGATCCCTAACCTCTCAGAGCGTTTCCACTTCTGGGCACAGAATCTGACATTTAGTAGGTGCCTAGCAAGTGCTTTTGAGTACAAATACATACATATATATATAAACAAGCTCTCAAATTTCAGGAGGGTCACACATCTAGAACTTTCCTGCTCTGTGCTTGCTGTTACTCATTACCAAGGACTACATAAGCATCGACCTCCTGCATTTCCCGTCTCTGTTCTTTAGTTTCCTAGTGGGTTTTATTGTTTGTTTGTTTTTAATCCTCACTCGAGGACATTTTTGTATTTTTATCTTCAGATAAAGTGGGAGTGAGAGAGGAAGGAAGAGAGAGAGAGAAACATGGATGTGAGAGAGACACATTGAGTGGTTGCCACCCACACCACCCCAAGCGGGGCCGGGGACAAACTGCAACCGAGTACGTACCCTTAGCAGGAACCGAACCTGGGCCTCTCTGGTTGGGGGGCCAGTGCTCTAATCACTAATCTAAACCCGCCAGGGCAGTTCCCTAGTGTTTTGATATGTCATTCTTAGCATTAAAAAAAAATTAATAATTCTGGTTTAGTATAGTTTTGCTAATTTATCATTCTAGTGGCAATATCTAAGCTTTCTAGAGGTCTTCCAGACTTCTTGGACACATATCAATAAGATGACCTGGTATTTTGTATGTATCAAATAATTTAATTTCTCAGCCAATCATAAGTATTTATTGATCATCTATCACATGATAACACAGTTTCAAGGACTGAATATATAATGGTGAACAT